CAAGCTGTGTCACACACGACATCTATAAAGGATTTTCAATCCGTAAACACATATTATAGAAACAACATGCAACATTTTATCCTACGCCGTGATACAATAATGTGGTACGTACGCGTGCGTACGCGTCAAACGTCACACCGCAACGGTATATTGCACGCAACCACGTACGCCATGTACCGCGCCCTTCGCGTCTCTCTCTGTGTACGTGTGTGTATGTGTGTATGTGGTCTGTGTATCCTGCTCCTGAGCCCCCCACCCAGCGGGGGCTGGGGGCGTCGTGTCCCCGTGTTGTTTTTCCTATTTACGCCCCGTTCGTTTGTACGTATCTCTTTGTTTTCGTTTGTTCCGTTCGGTGTGTGCGTGGCACGGGGATACGGTCGACGATCCTAACAACGCAAAAACAACTCTACAGGCTCCGGAAACTACCCTTCCAGGAACGCCGCGGAAATTTTCATTAAACCTCGCGTCCTCGCGAGCCCGAGCCCCTCGATACTCGCTTTACTCGCAATAAAACGGGAGGAACAGGAGTCCGCGGGACTCCTAATTTTATTCATCTTCCGCACAGACGGGAACGGAAGCTCTTTTCTTTTTTTTCTTTTTTTTTCTATTTTATCGGCACGGGCGTCCTGGATCGACTGGAGAAACAAAGAGGGAACTTTTGAACCCGAAGGAGACCGCCACGGCCGGAACGAAATGGACGAAGCAAAATCGATGGCCCCCGCGTCGTTTTCTTCCCCCGCGGAGCAACCGATCCGAATCTTGCGGATATATTTCGTCGGATTGGATCCGGAAAAGATGAACATGTGTTTACGCCGTTCCGCGTTCTCGCGATCTCCCGTCGAATCCCCAGCGACCATCGATTTTTCCATTACGTGTATGAAACTCCGCGTGCACATATACATATATATACCGCGTGCACAAGAACGCGTTTTACACGGTGCACGAATACAACGAAACAATTAAAACGAAAAAGAACATCCGGCTTTCGAAGCCCCGAAACCCTAAACCCACTTGCGATACTCGAAACGCTTTAGCGACCCTGGTGCCTCTCCCCCCCTCCCCACTCAACCCCCTATGCGCCATTAGGCGCGCGCCTAAGCGAAGCGAGAACCTAAAAAAAGAAAGGAACAAAATATATATATATATATTTATGTATGTATAAATATATAAATTTATTTATACGTAGCGGTCTACGTAAATACTCTGTCGGTTGGGATGATAGAAAATAATGTTCCGTAAGCAATTTTTAATGGCGATCTTAATCGTTAGTTTTAGCGACCGAGATCATTGTTTTTAAACCGAAACGACATTTGCTTTGTGCTGGAACAATCGTTCTTTAAATCGAAGTCTAGCCGCACCGAATTCTTGTCACTTTTCCTTTTTTTTTCAACGAGTCCGTTGACGTTCGCAAATTACAAATTCTCGTTTAGAAACACCGCGAGCAATATATCGTCGCACGGATGATAAGAACATGTTTCACGGTGCGGCTCTAATCGACCTGCTATGGATTTTATGTACTCGCAACAAAAAATGAGTGGACGATGTTCGAAATGGTAGGGAGGGAGATCGAAAGTACGTAATAATATGAACTCGTTGAACACATTAAGGTCAAAAAAAAAAAGAAACGATCGTCGCGTGTATTTGCGATCTATCGATATTACCGTATGTAAAATTGTCCCCGACCTCTTCCGATATTAAGATGGAACGTGACATCGGCTTCCAACAAAGCATCTTGTATCATCGAAACTAAAGGATATATTCGTGTAGACCATTATATATGCGTCTCTAAGAAAAAAGAGACTTCTTCTGGAACTTGCGAGTTCCATGCAAAACGAGGAAACTTAACGACTAAGAAAATGTTCAACGTACGACCTAAAGATTAACTCCCCCTTCGCGGGTTCGGTTGGCTCCTGCTTGGCAGGGTAGCCGAGAAAACGAACGACTTAATTTTAAAACGAAGGAATAACGAACGAACAAAAACCTATTTAGACTCAATGAAAGTACGCATACGTGGTTCTTACCTATACACATATGTATATTTACACTCGTGATCGTGTTCGTAAAACTGGATCGCATGCGACGTATCCCGTGCAATGTTCCTGTTGTCGTCGCGTGTACTCGTCTCGTGGTGTCCGCGTTTGTTTTCGTGTATGTTTTATCGAGCGTGTACGTGTATGCGTGTATATGCGTGTGTGTGTTTGCGCGCGTGGACGCGTGCGCGCGTGTGTATGTTCCTATCATCGCATACGTAAACGACACATAACACTTTTCTTTTTTTCTTTTAATAATCCCTTTACCCGTGGCGAGCGTTCGCGTCGCCGAACCCTCGCCTTCGTTCCCACCCCTCTACGACTAATTCACGTCATCTAAGTGTTTCGTAGCCCATCCTTGGTTAAGTGATTCGCCCGAAAGGATCGGTATCACCCTCGACCCGACCACCGGTTCTTCCCTTCGACGTCCTGCATCCTTCCTTTTGCTCTAACCGTTCGCTCTATTTTTTAGCCTTCGCCCACCCAAAAACCCTTCCGTTCCCTTCATCGTCAACCGAACGATCGGCAAGCCTCGAGACGATCGTTGAGCCTCGAGACGATCGTTCGTTTCGTTCCTCGATTTTTCCTTCGACTCCTCGGAATCGTTTCAAAATAGTTTTCGTACTTTCGTCACGTGATTCTGTCGCTTCGGGAAACGAAACCGAACCACGGTCTCGCGGAAATCTCGTTTCTCTGACCCCATCTTCCCCGGATTTGATCCTCGCTGCTCGAAAATCGCTCTATCGCTTTCTTTCTTTCTTTTTTTTTTTGTCGGGATTTTCGTGAATGCCAAACGTCTCGCAGTTGAACGATACAAAAATCGCACTGTTCTTCGATGCGTGTACTTCTTCTCTCGCATTTTTTGCCGGTTTTCTGTTTCCTTTTGTTCTGCTTTATCCTCCTTCCTCTTCACCAGGTAAAACACGCGCTCGAGCTTAGAAATCACGCAAATGCACACACGCATCCCCCACTCACGCCAGCACAGATACACGCATCCATCCACGTATCTCACTGTTTCTAGTCGTCAGTTACATATTATAGTTGTACATATGCAATAATGCGGCTTTGTAAAAAAACGGATTCTATATATAATATAATACGTACAGTTTATATATCACGTGTGCCGAGGATCACGAAGGCTTCCCGGAATTCTTCGAGTTCTAACGTGAGGCGTTCAACGTTTTCAAACGTTTTTTGCGATCGGATTGCAATAGATTTAGTCTAGTTTTTTAGTCTTGTAGACTTCAAGTTCGATGCTTCTGTAAGTTAATTTTGTTGCTATTTTAGCCGGTAGCCATTTAGAAAGGCGATTCTCTGTTTGCTATCAAAAAGAAATCAAACGGCAATTTAAAAAGTCCTGCAGGTCGGTCCTGGAAACATTGCAAAGCCGCAGTTGGGTTCGCTCTAACGATCAATCGAGTTTCTTTGCTCTTGTTTCATGCACGTAGATCGTTCCATCTATTTCACATTTCATGTGTATTCCAAAATTTTGCATTTTTCTACGACTTTCTTAAAACTTATACTTGCTTGAAACACGAATAACAATGTGTGTTGAAATGCGAATAAAGCATATTTGATCGAATTAAACGATAAAACGAGATTCGATGAAAGCTGCAGGACAATGTTCTCTTTTTCAAAAGCATACGAGTGTCGTATGTTGTAATGTAAATCAAATTAAATTGGCAACTATCGAATCGCCATGCGATAACAAGACGAAAGAAAATTACTGTTCGGCGAAAGATTTGATATCGTACTTGCGCGTGGTAATACAAGACGGACATGAAGCAAAGACTCGAGTGATTTCGGGGAATCATTTCCCTGCTGTTCTTAAGCAATCGATTAATATAACCCGCGGTATTATCTCTTCTCTTCGGCAATGGCTCACCGGCGATCAGAAACAGAAATATCCGAACACCGATATGATCTACGAAGAGGTCGAAAACTCGAGGAATTCACGGGTAAAAGTCTCCGGATCCTCGCTCGTACCCTTTTCCCAGGGTATAACAGCAGAAGTATAGTCCCGACTATTCTCGGGCTAACCGGACAAGTAGTATATCTCGGCTGTACGGAATGTACAGGTATATTAATTATCGTAGTCGCTCAGTGTTCCCTGTGTTTTGTTAATGCTTTGTTATTATAAAAACGATGAGGTAGTACTGTCATTACGTATCTCATTTGGCAGAGGACGCGGGCGAACGGAGCCGCCCGCGATCATTGTCGCGCGGTTCTCTAAGAAGACTAAACGAAAGAGAAAAGAACAGCAAAACGCGAACGTACGTGAAAAGAAAGAGGGTGTAAGAAAGTTTTGTGAATCGGGACGTGTGAGAAGAAAAAAGAATCTGCGATCGACCGTGTGTCTATAACGTTACTTCTCTGCGAATATATACATACAATCCCTTAGCTCGCGTGTGATCTCGTTTAAACACTAAATAATTCTCTATTCGTCTATTGTCTTTGATACCTTCGCGGTAGGCGTATCGTTGTGAGATTAATAACTTTTGTTTAAACTTCGTCTGTAACGCAACAAGAAGATGAACAACTATAAAAGGCGATATGAAAGTGGAGATTGAGAAAGACAGAGAGGCAGTGAGATGAGAGACAGAGAAATAGAGAGAGAAAGAGAGAGAGAGTAAACGATAGGGGAAACAGAGGACAAGGCAAAAGAAAATGAAAGAAGAGAGAAGGAGAGCGAGAGAGAGAGAAAGAGAGAGAGAGAGAGAGAGAGAGAGAGAGAGAGAGAGAGAAGAAACAAAAAACGGGGTATTGAGGCGAAGAAAAGGAACGATAAAATAAAATCATCGATAAACGTGTCAATACTGCAACAAGTAATATCGTGGTGCCATCCTGACTAGGAGTATCTATATATCTATCTATATAGGTAAATGTAATATAACTATTGCATTGATATTACATCCTATACAACCGAGCTAGCAATTAATCTATGTATCGATTGTGGTCTATTGGTTGTCGTCCCCTTATTATCTCGATCCGCAACTATTGCTTCGGACAAAAGTCCGTATTAAACATTGTAAACAGGTAACAAAGTGGTAGTGATTGTTCGCGTGACGTCAACGTCGTGCCGCGATCCTTCCCGGCGAACGCGAACCGATCGCGGGGATCGGTCGCGCGCTAAAAAGGTCGATATAGAAAAGCATCGGGAACAGAGAAATCGGCGGCGAGCCGTTTCGAACGCGCAACGGACGGGGAGGGCTCTCCAGGAGACACCTGTTCGCACGGATCCAACGAACGGGCGGCTCGCGGTAGTCCATCGTTCGGAGATTCGAAATGGTCGAAACTCGATCGGCGACCGGTTACGATCCTCTTTCGTTCTCCGGGCGTGCGCGCGCGGGTCCGAAACGGTCGTCGGCCGCGACCGCCGGGAAACGATCCGCTCGCACGTGGCCTACACATGGTAACTTGTCCGTCCTAGAATCGCGGTAATAATCTCATAAACCCCCTTCTATAAAACGGTTACATCTATACGAGACGAGAATCGAAGAGATGAGAGACACAAAACGAATTATACGCGTGTCGATTCTCGCGAAGTCACGCCCCTCCTCTGGATATGTTTCACCCCTGAACGAAGACCGGCGACCGGTTCCATCCAGACTGCGGGTCGATTCGGCCGATCTTGTTTGGCACTGGCGCGTGATCGAACAAAGTTTCGTCGTAAAAGAAAACAAAAAGAAAACAAAAAGAAAGAAAAAAACAACCGAGAGAAAACTGAAAATCGGAGAAATGACAGGAGCGACTTCGGTTAGATAAAAAAAAAACAAAGAAAAACTATGAACGTGTTCTCCCGTTGGTTCTCGACCCTAGGCTCTCGACATCAACAGCAATAATAGTACCGGTAGTTCAACCTCTGTAGTTCTATAAAATCAGTAGTAACATCGTTCTTTTTTTTCCGTTTTCTCTGCGGCGAGTGCGGTTTATCAATATGCAGATTAATAATCCTTAATCATCAATGGTAACGTTCGAACTATCGTTAATATAGAGTATAAGGTAGCGGCAGTAGACACATTTCTATTACATCTATTATTTCGCAACAGCGCTTGCACCAAGTTTTGTTTTGGTCGGTATATAATATACTATATTTATATATATATATCATCTGTCGACCGTCCTCGCACGAAGAAGGACGGTTTTTAAAAAATAAAGACGGAAAACAGATTCATCTTTTTTTTTCTTTCCTTTTTGCTTTTAAAAAAATTGCTCCGCTTACGGTATACGAGTTCACCTGAGAGACGCGGTCTCCTATTCGTCGACCCGGCCCGCCACCATCGACGGCGAATCTCGAGGCTGGACCCATCACTCTGATCCGCACCATTACCTCAAATCAGTTTGCTTGCAGCTGTCCGCTTTCCTCTACTCTCTATTTCATTTCTTCGTCGCGCTCATTTAAACGTTATAGTTAATAATTCTTATATGACGTTGCACTTTCATTGACTAGTTTTGTGATTCGCGAGCGTACTCCAGCAACAACCTCCCCTATCCCACCCCTCCATCGCCTGCCTCACCTTCTCTATCCGAGCGCAAACTACTCCGCTCGGAGGAATCGGACGTCGACGCGTTCCCCGGAGCTTCTTCCTCCTACCGGCTCTTCTTCTCTACATCCGCCAATCTCTACCTTCTGTTCGTGATCCGATCACTGGGGACTAATTTTCCTATTTCCGCGGTCAACGCCTCTATCCGTCGTCATCCGGGTCCACGCGGCGTCCATCTTCCTCGGGCGGGTCGCAACGTTCCCAAGCGTCGAAACGTTGACGGACCGCCGAAGCGGACGGAACACCGGATCAAATTCTGCGGAGCCGTTTCGATCGCGGGTCGTGGAAGGTATCCCCCCCGACCGATCCTCCCCGAGCTCTATCGGAGATCCTTTCATCCGTAGACCCGCGATCGAGTCGGAGGACCCCCGTAATTGACAACTATTACGAACGGATCGTCGCGTTCACCCAGCAGGGATCGCGAGGATCACCCTTTGTAATCCTGCGGGCCGGGATCCTCTCGGGTCCCGGCTACCGTCCGCTGTCAATTGCATCGCGGAGACCTCGGCCGAAGCGACTCCGGACCGCCATTCGGATGCGACGCGTAGGATGGGTACGGCGTTGACCGACGACCAACGGAAAAGGTGGATCCTGCGACACCTTTGACCGCCTCTACTTGCTCGTTTCCATCTTCTTCGTAGTCCTTCTTGCGAACGTTACGCGCGCCATCCGCGCGGGTTACACGAGGAACCGTGCTCCGACTACCCTCCTATCCTCGCGCACGGTATTGGTAACGACCTTGAACACGTCTACCATTTTACTGCGGCACCGTGTCCGTCACCGAGTGGTTCGACTGCTGGAACGCCTTCAGGTTCAGCTCGGCCTTGTGCTCCCGCGCGATGTGCCGTCTGGTCGTGTTGTTCCGCGTGAACGTCCGTGAGCAAAACGGACAGGGCACCCGGATACCTTGATGACGTTGTCTGATGTGGGCGCGCAGGTTCGTCTCGTAGCCGTAGAGTTTCTCGCAGAAGGGACACTTCAACTTCTTTCCTGAAACGATAGAAACAGGATCGTTAGTGTTATCGCACGGACGCACGGGCTTTAGGTGTTCCATCTATGGATGGAGAGATCGATCCGGTGAGAGATCGATCTTTCAAAGATCTTTCAACGATCGATCCCTAAGACAGCATATCCCTATGTGTACTAGAAACGTTTACGACACGGACCAGCTGTCTTATATAATTAGTATTGTACTCGGGCCGCTAGAGGGATTCTTTTATTAGGATACGCCTTATTTCTGGACAACTAGACGCGTGTTCTTCTAGGTTTCCGACTTCTCGTTCGGTAGCGATCGACGTGTCATGAGCTGACCGGATCTTTATGCGAAATCAAAAGTCAAGACGATCGTGAGAAAGAGGAATTCAAAGATCATAATTTGGAGACATTCGAGAGAACTTTTAGAATCGAAATTAATAAATAACTAAGAAACTGCAGTTCCGTCATTGTTAAATTAGAGAATATAAACGAGTCTTCTCGTTCAAAGTTTATTAGACGATGATTCTAGCTGTTTAACCAGACGTTTGTTCCACGAATATTAATCCTTCGCACTCGAAGCCGTATTAACACGTTCCATGCCACGTGTACCATCCATGGTACACGCTTGCATGTTTACTTAGTAAACTGAACAAATTGTTTACAAGAAATTTAGAACCGAAGAATCAATTTCCACCGCAAGAATTTTTTGTTACGTTGTTATGTGTACGAGAATTAATAATTGCACGTAATACATCAAGTTTTAGTAAAATATCAAAGTGTGAAGATTCGAGTAAAAAAAGCTCGGCACGGAACGTGTTAACTGTAAATTTAATATAACCTTTCCGACTTATGGTATTTCCATTTGAACGACAAAGTGCGTTTTATGCGTATGAAATTGAATCTTGCGACTCGTACGACAGTTAGAGTTTTAACAATTCTTTGTTATTGCTTTAAGCTTTGTTGTTATAAAAATTATCTTGGAACGTGGTGTAACAATTTTCGCGGTGCCTCGGAGTTATCGTCCCTCGAGTGCAAAGAGTTAAACAGGTATTCTTACGAAAATCAACAAGTATCGCGATGGTAATGAAGAAAACATTCATAAAATCGTAACCGTTGAATTCAACGATTCTCTTCTTCTCCGAATTCAATTCGAAGCAACCACGCGACTTTTCGCTTCGTTCATTATAATACATACGAATTTGTATATCATGCTAACCAGCTCCGTATACTATAGTCGAGAACAACGAGCGATAATTATTAATTGTAGACGGTCGAGTATCACATTCCTCGACCGCTTATTAAAGGGATTTTTTTACAAGAAGACATTCTTTAGCATCTCCGGCCCAGGTATGAGAAAGGATGAAGATTATCTGTTCGACCTTAAGAACGAAGTTCCCGACAGGCCAATGGCATCTAGATTGCCGGCACGTGTAAGATCAACGGAGAACGCAACGGTCACCGTCGGTCACGATTGATTCCCGTCGAAGGGCGCCATTTACGCAAACGTTACTATTTTCCTTAGGCGATGCGGAACCGTTCATTAACTCGAGAAGCCGGCGTTAACGCTGCTCGACCATGACTGTTCCGAATTCTGCCCGGTTCACTAAGCGTTCCACGAGAATCTTTCGGTAAACACCCGTTGGATGCGGTTCTTCTAGTGAAACCGTGCGAACAAACGACAATCTTATCATTACCCGTAGAGGCATTGGAAGAATTACCGACATCGAGCTGGGAATTTTATTGCACAACGTTCGAAATCCTTGCTCTCCGCTCTCGGTTATTCTAGAACAACCATAATTCTAGATTCTCCAGGCAGATTCCAGTCGAATAGCTTTCCGGTATACCGTACATTTAATAATTACGCGTAAACATAATAATTACGCATAACTGTAATCGCTAAAAAATATCGTCGCTTCCGAACACTTTCGGCGCGATGTTTTTCTGGGATTTTCGAAAAGAATAGCAACCTCGTCGCTACCATTTCAAATACATTACAGTAATGTCTTTCTAATTGATGCTCGGATTGTCCTCAAAAATGGACAATTTTGGAAGAGGAGATACGAATTGTTCGAGCTTCGTGGCTCGTTTTTTTATAGCGGTTGACAATTCGTAACTATAATAAACGAACCGCGAGGCTCGAATAATCGTATCTCCTCTTCCCAAATTGTCCATTTTTCTGCACAATCCGAGCGTCAATTAGGGAGACATTACTGTATATCGAATCTCTGTGGTACAGGAAGCCGTTAACTTATTCGCGCCTAATTAATACCGAAGCCGTCTTGCTTCCAAATGATTGCCGAAAGAAGCGAGACGTGCTCGAAAAATATCGCACATCCGCGCGATCTTTTTACGGTGCCTAACACGACGATCGCGAATTTGTTGTATTTGTAGTAAAAATGAGCAGATACGATCTGAAACGGTGGAAAGATTCGAAGAGATTAACGAATCCTGATGTATTAATTTCAATTTATTTAAATCATTAACGAAAGAAAGAAGAACTCGCGCTTGGCACGCACACGTCCGGCAACCGATGCGAACAACTTTCATTTTGCAGAGGAAACCGCGGTCTACTATTACGAACGTTGCAGGTGGAGAAACTCTGAAATTCTGTCACGAGCTCAAAGGATCTGGATTAGGTGTGCGCGAGCAAGCGAGCAACCCTGCGAGCGAGACGCATCCCGCGCGCGTGCAGGCTACACACGCGGCGCTTATGTGCGGAACTGCCTCGGCTTTTCGGCGAGAGTCGCCGCCTAAAAATAGAGCCGGACCATCCTAGAAAAAGTAAACGGGGCCGCGGGGCTCGATTCCGTGCAGCTGACTAGGGAATTTACAAAGGATCGCTGGCGAAACAAAGGCGGATCCGTGAAGACGTTCTACGTGGAACCGGGGAAGGGGTTGGCCCGGAGGAAATGTGCGAGCAGAAGACAGAAGCTGACAGAGAGTTAGAAAGAGGAGGGGCGGGGAGAGGGCAGTTGGACGGTGGAGAAAAAACGGGGACGAACGGAGAGCAAAAACAGAGAACGGCGAAGGGAAACGAATAGGGGAGGAAAGAAGACAGAAATTTACGGTTAAGGGAGTAGCCGAATATAGTAGGAGGCCGCGGGGTACGTAAACCCTAGGCACGCGGAACAACGCAAACCGTTGAATAGTAATGCGGATCGCGCGATTCCGACCGGTCAAAAGTCGAAGACAATGCGTGCAAGTTCAATTAGTACTTTTATAAGTACCTAAATCCACTATTCGACCCTTTCAATGCCGACCGAAAGCGTCGCGTGTACCTGAGCAACAAATATCAAACCCGTTTCACGTAGTTTGGTAAACTGTTGAAGGAAATGACAGAAATTTTGTAAACCTGATAATTCGAAAATTCGAAAAGAAACATAGAACACGAAATAAAATTGCTACTTACTGAAAATATTAAGGAAAACAACATTTTCTCAAGCGTAGTCATTAGCGATTTCACCATTTTCATTATAATGTATGCTTGAATCGAGAAATTTACTCAAACATCTTTTATAAAAGCCCATTTTCTATAATGCTACGATTACACGATACGCAAAAACAATTACGTTATTTCGCAATATTATATATTATACATTAGGGTTACATTTTGTTACAGCAAATTCAGCAACGTGTTAACCCCCTGCATCGTTTATTAAATATAGATGTTGCTCGTTTCTCTTGAATCGAAATCAATTTTGATTCTTCTGTTATCAGAATCTAGGAATGAAAGTAAATCAATAAGAAACAACAATTGTCTATCAGAGAATAAATATTGTTATATCGTTGTACAATAAATATTATTGTGTCATGTTAAATTGGGAGAATGATTAACCCTAGAAAGATAACCATATGACAACGTACGTAAAAGATAACCATACGCTTCAGAGGCGCATGCTTTTCTAAGGCGTCAATTTTATACTAACAATGGATATTTATTTAAGTTAATCTAGCCATTTTAAAGGTTTGGCATTATTGTAAAAATAAAATGCATTTATATTATATTTTTTTATATTTTAAGTAATTTTAAACTTAAATCACTAGACCTCTATGAAAAATTAACAAAAATCAACAGTCTTCGCAGGCGCCTCTGCGACGTAGGTTATCTTTCTCGGGTTAAGGAAGAAAACGAGTTGAACAACGTAGCTGTGTAAAACAAATCGCGGTGCAGGGGTTTAAGGGATGGCACTACCCTCTACAAAGAAATAGTATTCGACATAATAATCGCGACGGTAAATTATATCATTTGATAACAACTCCGTATAAATTGCATGAAAATCTCGTCAAAATTGATGTCTCAATTTCATCGTTGAAGAACAATCGCTTCCGCGAAATACGGTCTCGCGTGTATCGGCGATTATTATCGAACATCCCCCGATTATATCAAGNATAACCATACGCTTCAGAGGCGCATGCTTTTCTAAGGCGTCAATTTTATACTAACAATGGATATTTATTTAAGTTAATCTAGCCATTTTAAAGGTTTGGCATTATTGTAAAAATAAAATGCATTTATATTATATTTTTTTATATTTTAAGTAATTTTAAACTTAAATCACTAGACCTCTATGAAAAATTAACAAAAATCAACAGTCTTCGCAGGCGCCTCTGCGACGTAGGTTATCTTTCTCGGGTTAAGGAAGAAAACGAGTTGAACAACGTAGCTGTGTAAAACAAATCGCGGTGCAGGGGTTTAAGGGATGGCACTACCCTCTACAAAGAAATAGTATTCGACATAATAATCGCGACGGTAAATTATATCATTTGATAACAACTCCGTATAAATTGCATGAAAATCTCGTCAAAATTGATGTCTCAATTTCATCGTTGAAGAACAATCGCTTCCGCGAAATACGGTCTCGCGTGTATCGGCGATTATTATCGAACATCCCCCGATTATATCAAGGAGCCGGTTGATCCGACGGTGGACCGGACCTCCCGGCGTGTTCAGTTTCGTGTTTAGACGATTAAATCCACGAGCACGTCGACTATCGATAGGATAAGTGTGGCCTGCA